CGCCGCCCGCCGCCGCCGCCGCCGCCGCTATATAAATAATAACTATAAATGGTGGTTTGAAAACACGTTTGAAAAATAAACACCATGGTATGGTGTTTTAAAAAAAAAACACTACAAAAAGAAACATTTTGGTTACCAAACACACTCTTTAATGATTTTTTCGTTCGTACCTCTAATGCTATCCCGATAGTATACAATCATTATACATGTATAGCTTTGGATTTTTTTTCGTTTATATTCGACTAGTACTTATTTTGTTTTGGATCTTTTTTCGTTTATATGTATTTGTAACTTTGATAATCATTCATTGATAGATATTTTAAAATAGGCTAACCCTATAGCTACTAAGGCATGTTATCACCAATGTTTATTGAAACTGTCGAGTAATTAATTTGATGAAAGTGAAAAATGTATGTCTTGATAATAACTCACTTAAATAATACCGTTGATTGCTTGAACAATTACGGTTCATCTAACCTTACTTTTATACTTTGAGTTCTTAGTTTTGTAATTATACATTGCACGAATCATTTCTTGATGTCATCTAAAGACTCACACCTAAAAGAGGTTTAGAAACTTCGACAAGTTGAAAATGTCGAAGGAGAGCTTACAGTGTGCGCCTGACCGTTCAACGACAAGAGAGGACCAATTGCAAAGATCTATAAATATAAAATATCAGCAGTGTCCACATTAGATCGATGTTGAATATAGCACTGAATTTGTGAATATTCAAATATCGGTATCTTTATGTTTTTTCTATTTACGTGGATGATTTGGTTCAAATAAAGTTGGTGTACTTGGTGAGAGTACGTAAATATTACTTACCAATTGATTTCTTCTTACAAGTCAATTTATAATTTCGATGTTTTTCTTGAACGCTAATTGAATTCTAAATTGTTCTAACTATATTATGTTTGTGTCAGGTATAGGTAGCTGGCAATATGGTTGTCATGTATTGTTTATTTGGTAGAAATTATCTCATAATCGTCTATTTAAGAATTCTGGTTTCGTAAATTGCTATAATGTTATCTTACTAATTCTAGGGATAATAGTGTATAATGATGTTTCAAATTATTAGTAAATAAGATAAATGGAAAAAAAATGTCAAATTCAAAATTTTTACCATGTAATAATATTATGAGCAAGAACTTTGCAAATGCTAAAGCCTAGGGGTGTCCATCTGGGCCGACTCGACCCGGCCCGGCCCGGGAAACCGGGCCCGGGCCAGGCAAACCCGAAGCCCGGACCCGAGCCCGAGCCTGAGCGGGCCGGGCTCCGGGCCGGCCCGGTTTTTTTCTATTTTTATTTTTTTTTAAATTTTAAAAAAAAATAAATCATAAAATATACATAAAAAATACAAAAAATAACATAAATTTTTTAAATTAATTAAAATTACATAAATTACAAGTACAAAAAATTATTAAAAAAAGATGATAAAAATAATTTCTTTATTAATAATCATGTCATTCATATATTATACATAAACAAATTGTAAGTACTTATAGAAATTACATAAATAAATTGTATTATACATAAACATATATATAAAAATTATATATATATATATA